CCACGCACTCTCTATAACTTTAGGCAATCTATTCTTGCTGTGCTTTCTTCTGCCTGTGCAGGTGAAATAATGGCTAGATTCTTTGAGATTAGGTAGTACATTTTTTTTGAGCTGCAGTGGCAACAAAAAATATGTGAAGCCTTTGTAGTAGGTCTTTTCTTTATTAAAAATACATTGCCTGCTGTTACTTACAGTTAAATATGCTTGCTCTGGGAGAGTTATTTTCCTCTTTGATAACTGTTTTTGGAGGAATTTCAGATTTTTTTTCTTGCTTCGGCAGATTAACAGATTTTGAAAAYCATTATTGAGGTAGATATTTTTTAGATGAATGAGTCATATGTACAATACCCACACTGATTAAAATACTAAGTGGAAAGTTAACCACAGGGCTCAAAAGACATTCTGATTTTTTTCTGAAGTCTTGCAGATGCTCTTTTCTGTTGAAGTTGTTGAGCTTTAATCCAAATTTCGTGTATTGCGAGATTACTTCTCAAGCGTAGCCATCGTCTGTTGCCATCTGGTGGCAAAAACAATCCTCTAKCAGAAACTGAAATATAAAAAGAATTTAGATTGGTTATTTCAACTAACACAAATGATCCTAGAGACTTCATCAGCAGGTGGGCCTTTTGAGGTCTTCAGYGACAAAAACTACAAAAATGGCACAATGCCAATAGCAGGGAAGAGAATGGGCACTTTGCAGGAAGGAAAAGAAGGCATGACTGCCATTTTCTGGATCCCACTGTCATTYAAAAGACAAACAGGGATGCTGGAGAGACCCATAAAGTCATTGAAGTGTGTACCCCAAAAGCTAAAAAGTGACACCAGCATGGGGAAAAACTAGTAATGATGGGTGACCCCTTCCTGAGGCAAGTTCATCACCCAAACAGTGATATCCTGGAAGAGGGACAGTACTGCTGGTCTGAAACCTGAATTTAAACTTAGTGTAAGGTTAGGAACACTGCAAATGTTCCTTTGCACCTTCAAATCTCCCAGTTGTTGCTGTTCGTACTGGTAATCTGAGCTAATCCCAGTGGCTGCTCAGGTCTGCCAGTTTGGCTTGGAGGACTCAGCCACTTGTCCCATCAGGAGCCTGAAAATGGGGTATTCAGCTGATGTTGGGACAAATTAATGGTACCCACAAATACTTGGGTTTACAAGTGGTTTGCCTGGAAGCTTTTGTTTCCTTGATTCCAGACTGATGCTTGGTGACATTAGGAAAGATGGAATCCCTTATTAAGATTGGAAAATGGCTCTCTAGATCCTCATCTTCATGAAGATAATAGAGGAAAGTGACAGAAGCATCAGTCAAAGTTCACTTTTAGGAGAAAGAAATCTCTAAGTAGTTATTAATTTACAATCTGAAAGGTATTTGAGATGAACAGCAGCCAACACAAACTCATCAAGGGAAATAACCCTGTCATATCARTGCAATAAATTTTTTTATTACAGAGTAGCAGGCTTGTAAATTAAGGTGGGGTGGATGTCTTATCTTGGGTACAGTAAAGGTTTTTAAATTATCTTGCTTTTTAAAAAAATAATAGACAGTCTTATGAAACATGATTTAACAAAGGCTCCTATAAGATGGATGCACAGTTGTTTACTCAGTGGAAGGATACCCCTCCAGGCCATGTTTGTAATACTGATAGGATGACAGAATGGACTGTGTTTCTTAAGTTGGTGTTTGGCAAATACAAGTGAGAAAATGAAAGGAGGGCAGAATTGGAATTCAAATTGCTTGCAAAAGAAGAGAAATATCCCCAAAGTAGGAAGAAATTCAGCTGGGATGGTTTTTTTCTATACTAAAAGGCTAGTATTTGAGGAGACRGTTTTCAGAAAAGGACCTGGTGCTCACAGTGAATCTCTGACAGAGTATAACTCACTGATGTTGTACTGTTGAAAAATACAGAAGTAAGTAWTGTACAAGATGTACAGAAATGCAGTTTTACAAGTAGTTGGTCCTCTTTTTCTCGGTAAGGGGAGGAGAGAGCTCTGGTGAGAGCTCTGTTTCTGAAARTTTAGGAAAAATGCCTGGAGGGGTGTGTGAGTGATTGGAACTTTAGAAAGCATCATCCATAGGAAAAGGTTGAAAGAACAGAGAGAAATTTCTTCTATAAACAAAAATCTTCAAGGTTGTGCAATATTACTGCATCCAAAAGAATGCTTTTCCTCCTCTGGTATTAGTGTCCACCCTTACAATGAACCATTTCACTGGTTCCTAGGAGCGTGACCTGGTATTTTATGGTAATTCCTTTCTATGCTGTTTTCCATGTTTTAATATCTTCTGCATATTGTACTGTTGTAATCCTCTGCATTGACAGGATTTTCTGTTTTGTTTTCAGGGAACATCAGGCTACTTCTTGTAGCCTTTCTGCATGAAAGTTAGCAGTGGAATACCTCAGTTTTGAGTATTTCATCTTCAACTCATTAGCAAAGCTACAGAAATGGCAAAGTAGAAGAGGGACTGTAGATTGGGTAGGACAACAAGGGCTTTTGATACTTCCTCTCTTTTCAAGGAAACACCATTGAATGATTTGCTATGGTCCAGATTCACTTAACTGCATTTACTTTGTTCAGAAAAAACTGTCCATCATCAAAGAAAAGGTGATGTTCTTTGGCTGATGAYGTTTATTTGCATGTTTTTAAAACTCCTTTTGAAATCACTTCTGGAAGGAGTTCTGAGGCTTTGTGAGATGCTTTATTGAAGGTTAAAAGGCTGTTGTTGATTGAGTGACATCTCCCTAAGGGGCTGGCAGGTAGAAGATGCAGTAATAGCAGGTACTCCTCCTGTGCTGCGTGCTTTTAGAATGTTTGCTATAGCCTGCGATTTAATGAACCACCTTTTTGGAGCACTTCCAAGCACTTTTGAGTATTCTAAGACTGCATACTGCCACCAGCTTGGAGAAACACTCCTTAAAATCAGGGTGGGAGCAGTTCTGTATCCATGTCTCTCATCCTGGTGAATTGCTGACCTCCAGTAACAGATTCTTCTGTGCAGRTTCAAGTCTTTGGGCTTTATAAGGTGTTTGGCTCAGTCTGATGTGGATCGAGGATGTTTTCCAAAACATCCCTTATGTATTTCTAAGGACCGATCCTTATCACTTGGTTCTCTTCACCTTGGAGACGAATTTATGAAATATCTCAAATATTTATATAATTAAAATAGTTTGAGAACAGGAATGGCTGTTTATTTCTAATAACAATATAACATTGTGCTAGATGGAATCATAAAAGCAAAGGGAGATATAACTGACAGGAATGATTTGCCTAAYTTAATCAAAACTGAAGCAATAATTAATCATTTGTGGATGCAGTGAAGGAACTATGCCATGGTAGCATTTTCATTCTGTGTTATCCAAGGTGCTTTTAATGAGTCTGGGGGGAAAAAAAAAAAGAGGTATTTTACATGCAAAGACTGTTTTAATTTGGTATCTGATTGTTCTTTCTCTTAATGTRACTTCAGTTTTATACAAAAACTACATGTCTGGAAGCTAGATATCAGGCAGGATCACTTTTTCTTGTCTGGCTTTGTGTCCATTCCCACAAAAATGTAAATAAAATGTTTTTGTAGTATTCTTCTGTGTATGAAAGCTGGAAAGTGAAGATTGTATTAAAGCATGTGCTTCTCCAGTCTGGCTGAAGGCATCATTGTCAAGGACAGGCTGAGGGCTGAAAGGAGCRGAACAAAGCGCTGCTTGTCCGTTTGAATTCTTATTCCGTAGGCTGTGTGTGGCACCACAGGTTATGAACCACTGTGAAGTTTATTCCTTCAGCACTGCTGGGACCACAGATGTCATTGGGAGCAAGTGTTGATAAAAGCAAAAGTTTTGACAAATATTAAAACAGCTAAAAAGTAGCATTTTTATTTGGATTACTTTAAAGCCATTTCAGATAGTGATTCTTACTAAGTACGAAGTGGGGAAAAAGAGAAAAGCTTYCTTGGCTATCAGCTGATTCTGTCAACTGATTACAGCTGGGCAGCAACTATTAATTACTGAATTTAGAAATAATTCTCTGAGAAAATCTGATGAACCACTGGGAAAAAAAGCAACTAGGAAGGATACAGCGTGTTTTATGCCAGGAGCAGTGCATGAAGAACTGGGACAAAATAGGAACACGTGCCAGCTCTTTTTTTTTTCATTAAGTATCTATTTTCTAGCTTTGAGATAACAAATTTTGTCAGTGTGAATTGTCAACTGAGATATTTTATTTTGTGCACCATACTGGTTTTAATTTTGAAATATTTGAATATTCCCTGTTTTTGTTTGTTTTTTTTTTTTTAATAAATAGTAGACGAAACAAAATCCTCATTCACTGTATTTTCTGCTGGAGCTAAAAAAAGAATATAAAATACAACTTTTTTTGCTAAGTGCTCTATTATTTTTAAAATAAACAATGTAATTTTGTCTTAAGGTGAGTGTCCCTGTTCCTCTCACTTTTTGTATCTGAAGGGATTATGGTATTGTAGCATAGACAGGTGGTATTTGATGTTTTCCCCTCCACTCCATCCTTTTTTTTCTGTCAGTTTGCTTTAACTATTTATTGTAATGTTGGCTGTTTTTAGKTTTTTTTTTTTAACAGCTTTAAAAAATAGTAGTAAAGTGACTTAAGTGGAACAGGCTTCAGTTCTGACATATAAGGTTCTCTATTAATCCATATTCTTAAATCTGGTGTTCTGAGCTGCTGTTCTTTGATACCAAGGAAGATCTTTGCACTGGTTTTYGTGGGCTTGTTACCAAGTAACATTTTCTGGGGAAGAAACATCTTAAGAGAACTTTGAGATCAGGCCTTGATTGCAGGATGAAATGAACTGGAGCATGCACAGTTCTTTTCAGCCTTTCTCCAGTCTTTTTGCTTAGACCTGGGGGGGACAGGATGTGAGTTTGTGTCTGTGATTACCACTTATGTCATTACTTCTGATTGCAGCCTTGCTATGCGATATAAATTTTCACGTTCTGTTTTGAAGGGGAAAAAAACCCTCAATTTTAAAATCCTGGGGTGTGCTTTTAGTTATGCGGGCAACCAAAAGGTTGCAATAATTAATATCAGTATTTGGATTCARAAGTCAAATCAGAGGCCTATTGTCAAAGCTTGGGTGTAACAAAGTGTCTGTCCTTGATCCCTGGTCAATGCACCTTTAAAGTAAAACAACTTACATGATGTAAAAGACTTGGGAATTATTTGTGTTCTCCCACTTCAACAAAATCACAGCTATTTCTATAAACACTTTTGCAAACTTGTATGCATGAYTTGTATTTACACTGCAGGAAGCTTTTAGGAAATGAGAAGTTGTGTTAAAAACATCGCAGTGGTTTACAGTGATCTTATTTTCATTATGAACTTGTAAAAATTTACTAAATTCCTTTGCTAAATTCATGTGTGACATGGGCTATTAATTTTTGAAGCAAATGCTAAAAATCTTTCGTGGTACAGAATTTGAATTACTTTTCCCTTTAGTGATATACTACAGGCAAATGAGATCAGATGAAAACTCAGAATCTCATTYACAATCTGTTCCTTACCTATTCCTGTAAATGGCATCTAATTGAATYTTTTGGGTTGTTCCAGAAGGTGACGTCCTAAAGATAAGAGCAGTAAACCATATCCAGTCAACTTGACTTTTTAGCTGAGCCTTTCTTGTTGAGGGCTGGTTTTCATATGTGCCATCATARTAATGCTTTCCTGGTAGCCATGATGATGTACTTTTGTGCCCAAACGCCTGAAGAACATTGGGGACTTATAAGTGGGTGTAGAAGTCAATAAGCCTGTGAAATACTGAGTTRTTATTGATATTCTTGACAGAATATGCAGAATTTCTACACTGCAAAGGGAAGAAATTTACTGATTTTGATGAAGTTCGTCAGGAAATTGAAGTAGAAACAGATAGAGTCACAGGAATGAACAAAGGCATTTCTTCAGTTCCTATTAATTTAAGAGTATATTCTCCACATGGTAGGTAAAACCATTCTACTTTACATTTATGTGATGTAAATGTATTATGAAGCTCTGTCTTGTGTAGCCATCACCTTTTGTATGTGTTCTTACTGTCTGATCTGAGCKGAAAAAGGTTTGAGGCTGAGTTGAGCCGAAAGTGGATGTGTGTCTAGAAGAATCCTCAAATTCTTCTCTTTGAAGAAACCATTCTATGGTTTATAGCTATTGTCACGATAGCTGAGAGAACACAGACTCTTTGCCCCATTTAATATTCTTTGGATTTAAAAATACTCTCACCATRCATCAGGATGGAGGCAATCTCTCCCCCAGTACATTCACCACTAGATAGTAGCTCATTAGTAAAGACCATTAATGGGACTTAGTGCTAAAACTTCTTTTTGCCACTCTCCAGAGAAATTCCCTCATCAGTGATCTAGAAAGCCACKGTGTCTCCCTGCCTTATTGGAAATTTATTGTTTGCTGTCACTAAAAATGGTGTTTGAAGTTGCTTTCTGTTGAAAGCCCCCTGTATATAACCAAGTTGGTTCCTCYGGTTGCCATCTGCCCAATTAATAGAAGACAATTTAGAGAAAATATTTTCCATTGAGTCTGTCTTTAATATAGGATGAAAGTGGTATGTTTGGCAGAAGCACTCGATTTTCCCAACTGCAGAGAAGCTGAACTAAATTCCCTGCCTCAAAGCTTGTTTGTTAAATGTGCTGACTCCAGGAGAAAGTGCAAATTTCCTACCTATTGCTCTTGCTTTGTTTTATTAGGATCAGTCTTTTAGTTCAGCCACTGTTGTCTTTATTAGTAAAACTCCAGGTATACTTCTGGTGTTTCCTTTGTAGGAATCCCCTTTGCCTCATTTGTCTAAARGATGCCCTGTTACCCCTGTAACAGGATGTTTATCCCAGACAGGATGCCTCTTGTTACCACTGTGGCCTGTACTGGGGAAATCATGCCACAGCTAAACAGGTTTYCTCAGTGGATTAACTTTTTCATGTTTCCTATTTTTCTGAAGATGTTACAGGGTAAAAACCAAAAAACCCAACCTCCAAAGCAGCAACATATCCCTAGGCCACTTAACAACAGTTTTGCTATAAAAGTTAGACTACCTATTGACTTTTTTTGGAATTTCTTAATTGGAGACATGGTTGAAAGCATGGTCAGAGAAAGTTGTTTGGGTTTGTTTTTCATTAAATATAGACTGGTTTGAGTTGATTTGAAGGGTGCAGTGAGTTGTCTGTGCTCCTGTTACTGGACAGAGCTCAGAAAGCTGTACTCATTTGTCTTAGGGTCCTCAAAGATATTTGGTATAAGTATCATTCTATACCAATTTTAATATTTGAAATACTCAMTAGTACTGATAAATCCAGAGGTGAAAAGCCAACAGGGAAACAAGTGTACTTTTCAGATGGTCAGGCATTTTATTTGAACTGTTGACAATATTTACCTGCTATAAAGGTAGTTATATGGGGGTTTATGTGACTAAAATTTGTCTGCATACATAGGTGTGTAGACCCCTTTGTCATGTGTGCCATGCTAACCAGTTTTTTGATCCATGCTTTCCTTATAGTCTTAAGCCTGACCCTGATCGATTTGCCGGGCATCACTAAAGTGCCAGTAGGGGATCAGCCTCCAGATATYGAGCAGCAGATCAGAGACATGATAATGCAGTTCATCTCTCGGGAGAACTGCTTGATCCTGGCTGTGACTCCAGCTAACACTGACCTGGCCAACTCGGATGCTCTGAAGCTGGCAAAGGAAGTGGACCCTCAGGGTAAGAGTGACTCAGTGTTACCACTTTTTGTTCTCAAGTGTAATAATGTAATTGGAAGAAGTGGACCACCTCTTGAAGGAAATTTTATAATTTATAATATGTAATATAGATGTGTATTTACACTGTCGTACAGTCTTCAACATCACAGTATGACTTGTTTGTTAGCTCAGTATTGTTTGGGTAATGTTGCTGTAAATGCATTTTAAAAATTTTGTTGTCATCTCTTATAAGCAGGTGCAGCAGTGCTTATTTTGGAATTTTTATACTACTGGGCAGAATGGGCTATGGTGCTGATGGGATTTCCAGATAMTTACACCATAAATTTTATATAGTTGTATTGTAGGGATGCTGAGCCTTGTTAAGGTGTTTTGAGGAACATTTCAGCACTGGCAATTAKGTTCCCTTCTTTTCCACCCATATCATAACTCAAGTTTTAGCTGCTATTGTGTGATACCAGCTTTGGTGAAGGGAATGGATATGTTTTTATGTAACTGTAAGATACAACTGTTCTGAATCAAAATGATTCTTCAATAASTTTTTTTTTCCTGCCTCCATCCTGGTCAGGCCTTAGGACCATTGGTGTGATCACAAAATTGGATCTGATGGATGAAGGAACAGATGCAAGAGAAGTTCTAGAAAACAAACTACTCCCTCTTCGTAGAGGTGAGAATGTTCAGTTGCCTTTATTGTTAGCAGTCCAGAAAGTGGTTTGGGTAAGGGTGGTCTTCAGGAGTCCTGGAGACRAGTCAGAGGTTATGCTGTCCTTGATGTGTCCCTTGCTTTTATAGTTATCTATTCAGCAAAATCAAGGTGGCTGTGCTAACAATAGCCATTCTGGACCTGGAAAATTCTTGCTTCCTCTGGAATATGCAGTGTAATGTCAGCACAYGTTGTTAGCCGATTTTTTTCTTCTCTGCCAAGTTGCTTGTAACAAATGAATGTTTTTTTTTCTTTGTGTATGACAGAAGCAAGCACCAGAGCTTCAGTAATCTCACTGTAAATCAAGTTTTTACCCCTCCCAGAAATTTTCCACKTGCTTGATCTGGCAGCTACTGCCACAGTTACTCATTCTGTTAATAATGACAAGAATTTTGATTCTAATTGTAATTTATTGATGAGACTACCATCTCTTCCYATGGAGTGTGTTGGTCCAGCAAATAAGAAGAAAGGGTTTTTTTTGTATTTTGTTAATGTCATGTCATTTACCTATGTAGACTTGTGTGGGTATTTAATTTTGTTTTGGATTTTTGTTTATTTTTGTAGAGGTTTCTTTGGAGTTCACTGGAGTTTCAACTATTTCTTTATTTGAATTGTTGATTTAAAAGGAGATCTGTTACATGTAAACAGAAAGAATAATTTAAATGGTCTTAAGGTAACAGTTCTACTTGTAAACATCATCTGAAACGCCTGAATTAGAAAGTTTGTGTGAGCTGAGACAGTCTAGTTCTAGTTAAGATGAATTTTGTTGTTCAGGCAATAGCTGCATTGATTTGCCCTTTGGTTTTGTCTTGTTTTAGGTTATATTGGTGTTGTAAACAGAAGCCAGAAAGACATTGATGGGAAGAAGGACATAAAGGCAGCTCTTTTAGCAGAAAGGAAATTCTTTCTGTCCCACCCATCCTACAGGCACATGGCGGATCGAATGGGAACACCATATCTCCAGAAAGTTCTAAACCAGGTAAAACCTGAAGTCTTTGTGGTGAAAGGCAGCTTTATCATGATAAGGCAGTTACAAAAACTTTATTAAAGTGAATGTTGGTTTCTGAACCTCACTTATTCTTTCCTGTTTTCAATAGTTTTAATTTGCATAAGGTAAAAACGAAGCWGTATATTACACGTAGCATACAAAAGCTTGCTATGATATATAGTTTCTGACTTTTACTGACAGTTCTGCACTCCCCTGTTCTCTTGAATATTGAGTATGAACATCAAAAATAAGATTTGTTTCCCTTCCTGAAGTATACTGTCCTGTTCCTCAATTATCATATTTTAACTGAATTATTCAGTTGACCAGTGCTTTTGGCATTCTTGATACTATTTTCTGCTGCTCACTGTCATATTGCAGCCTTGGTCTGGAATAGACAAAGACCAGGTCAGCCTGGCTTTGTCCGTTTAGGACAGCAGCTGGAAACAGCAGAATTGTTACTGATTGAAAACTAGAAGGCTAAGCAGATGGCCTGCTTAATTTTTTTGCTACAGTGACTTTGCAGTGTTAGCTTGGCAGCCAAGCTATGTAGCTCTGGGCTCTCTTGAAAAGACTGCTAATGCCATTTATTTGTGCCTGAGAGCCCAAGTCTTCATCAGGATGCAAGAACTTGCTTCTATCCTGCATTTTTATCTGTGTTTAGAATGTTTTGCCTTGTTTTATATCTTGTAAGTTTAATCCATATGTCTTAGTTTTGAGACTGAAGCGCAGGCTGCATATACCTTTCAACTGTCTTGTCTGTCCTGACTTGCACTGCTTTATGTGCTATTAGCTTTTTTGAGAACTGTTTTGAAAATTTACCTGCTTCAGTAGGARCTGTTGGTCTTGTTGGTTGTTTTTACTGTGTGTAGAATGTTATATATGGGAAGATCTACATAAGCTTTGTCTTTAAGATATTGGGGACCTATAGTGGTTTCAGGCAGTATTTCAGTTTCTTTGTATCCACAAGGTGGTGCTCCAGGGAAGCTCCAGCTTTTGGTTTTGTGCCTGTCAGTCTGCTGAGCAATTTTAAATTTGAGTTTATGTATTTTGGTGTATGACATTCTAAATGTATAGCTTGTCTGAGTGGGGTTTGGAAGAGGGTTTGGGGCATAGTGGAACTAGTCCAGCTTGGTGTTAATTAAGGAATGGGTACAGTGCCTGAGAAATTTATGGCACAGGTAAGACGTGGCTAGTGCTGTCCAAACACATTAAAACAATATATATATGTATGCAAAAAGATGCTGTGGGTGCTCAGAATCTCTTTTTTTGTCCCACATTGCCTTGTGGCTGTAGCATAAGGGAGTAGTTGCTGTAGCATAAGGGAGTAGTGCTGAACAAATATATAGGAAATTGTGAAACACCCTTAGGAAAACCAGCAAAAATGGGAATGTGGCATCAGCACAGAGAGATGAGAGGTCATTTCAAACCACCCATGTAATGTGTGTAATTTTTCAGGTGTAACTAAACAGGTGTGTAGTACCAGGGCTCAATGAATGAGAGGATGAAGGGATTTTTGGAGGCTCCTTACAATGCCTATGCACCAGGAACATTGTATTATTCTTTAACAGTCCCCAYTGCATCAGAGATCAAAAGGAACTGCACTGGTAAATTAGCACAGGTCATGGCTGATGTAGCTAGGAGTCAGAAGGAAATAGTTGTACTCCTGCTTTCATCTTTTTATCAGTATAAAACGACTTTTATTTGCTTTTTAGCAACTTACCAATCATATTCGGGATACGTTGCCAGCCTTCCGAAGCAAACTCCAGAGTCAGCTGCTTTCTATAGAACATGAAGTAGAAGTATACAAAAACTTCAGACCAGAAGATCCCACCAGAAAAACAAAAGCCCTGTTGCAGTGAGTGTCTTTTGTCTGCTTTTCTACTTTGTATGGGTTTGTTTTGCCTTTTTTTTCCTTCTTTCTAATTGATTGCAATTTAAAGATTAGGATGTGTATAAGGATTCTTTATACAAGCTCCAAAGATTTCTGTTTGATGTTCCAGAACACTTTATTTATTCTGCAATTTCATCAGAATTTCCCCTAAATTAATTGTAGTAATTCTAGAAAAGAGAGAATGCTGAAAGGTATAAAGATGGGCAGCAGAAATGATTAAAGGTAGGAAACTGCTTCTGATTGTATAGACATATTGTTCTGTCTGCCAAAAATATGACCTCAAGCAAGGGAAAGACTTATATTGGAAGTCTGTAAGATGAGGAGGCTGGAAGAAGAAGGAGGAACATTTCCTTTTTTAGTATAAAAACTTGGGTGTCTAAAAGAACTGGAGGATGGCAAGATCAAAATTAATCAGAGAKAATCATGCTTCATGTGATGTGCACCTAAAACCCAGAGCTCTTTGCTGCAGGAGTAGTCAGCAAAAGTTTGTGTGCTTTCAGAAAGCAGTGAGGCAAATTCTTAGGAATTAACRTCATCAGTTCTGGACTAGAAAGCTTTTTCACTGCTGAAGTCACTGTCTGGTGTGGGTCTCATCCACWAAAGAAGTCTGTTTGATGAGACTTTGATAACAGTGATAGAACRGAGATGACTATTCATCAGACTTGGAATCAAGTGGAAGTGGAATCACAGCCCTTTCTTGRTGGTGGATTTAGCAGTAGGGAAAAAGGACAACTGATGTTTTGGATTGAGCACCTGCTGCTTTACTTCAGACTGCTTTTTGTTTTGGCCTTTTTCCAGGGATGCTTGATACTCAGTACTGCCTATCTTTGCACCTGAAAGGTCTGCCATTTTCACTCTCCCTTGTATTTTTTTTCCAGTTGTAGCCCTCTGCAGCCACTTTTGTATTCAAATGCAAATAAAGTTTACCTCTTAAAAAGGAAGCATGTGAAGGAGGAAAGAGAGGTGTATCTAGCTCTTCTGTCTCATATGACTGTTGTCACATTCCTCCTCTGATTGATTTCAGAGTTCTTCAGCATTCTCAGTTCTCTGGGATAGATGGTAATAGTATTGGATTTGTGATAATATGTAAGTTTGGGGCAGGATTCATTCTCTAACTAAAACCTTGGAATTTAGAAGGGAAAACAGTCAGCTGAACTAGAGAGGCTTTCTTGAGCCAGATGGAGACTCTGATTTACTCCTTATTTTTGTAACAAGTGAGTCCAAAAGAGTAGACAGTTCCTCATTATTTTACTCCAGATGTTTTGCTTGTAAAAACAGAGGGACATCACCTTTGACTTTTCCATGACTGGGAGAGTTCTCTTGTGTGTTTTTCTGAACACKCCTGTTGCAGAAGTCTAAGCACACCCAAGTAAGCTGAAGCTTGTGGTACTGACACATCAGCATGTCAGCACTGGTTCTTGGGCTTACTGTTCAGCATGGGAAAATAAGTTCCTTACCAATCACTTCTGAATTTTCCAGTGCTGGATCAGCTTAGTAGTTTGATTCACATCATGCTATTAGACTGTACTATGTCCTGGAAGACAGAAGGGATGCAGGGGAATGTGTATGGATTCCATGGATTGGCAGCTTGGCTGAATCAATTGTTGTCACAAATACTTTTGGCAATTGCTAAATATGTTTTAATGGGCAGTCGTAGGCACATAGTACTTGACGTTGGTGAGTTGGTRAATAATATGCTTCAATTGTTGTGGGTTTTGTTTTGTTTTGGTTTTTTTATTTCCTCTCCTTTGAAATTTAGGATGGTACAACAATTTTCAGTGGACTTTGAAAAAAGAATTGAAGGATCAGGAGATCAAGTTGATACACTAGAGCTTTCAGGCGGTGCCAAAATCAATCGTATTTTCCATGAACGTTTTCCGTTTGAACTTGTGAAGGTATTTATCCGCCTTGCTGATGTGCTTTGTGGGTTTTTTATGTATTATGTTTGTACTGATAGCAAGAAAAGCCAAGAAAATAGCTGATTGAAAGAACATGCTCTTAACTGTGGAAGAAATTACATGAAGTTATAATTGAGACATTTGGCTTAATTTCTAGGACTGGACACTAAGACATTTTAAGACTTCTAAAGTGTCCCTATTACAATATTGTTATAGACACAGTTCATACTTTTTTTTGTGCTCTTTGATTGTTTTATCACAAATGGTRTCTTTCTTCTGGTTAAATGGGAAAGGCATACAGTTACAGTTGGTGAATTTGAGTTGTGTTCAAATAACTGGTATTTATTAAAATGAGTCTTATGGAAAATAGCCCTTTTCTATGTGTTCCACTTCCTGCATTCAGGGCATTAAACCAAAGCCAGCTTTCMGTCCTACACTTTCATCAGAGAGAGGTGGAGCAGGGTAGGTCCCTTTCAACCCARGTCATTGTATGGTGGTTTAGCATAGGTAATGACCCTTTCATTTGTGACAGAAGTAACTTTTCTTCCAGCTGGCTTTCAAGAAACTTAAAGAAAAGCTTTGTAGCTTAATAACTGAGACAACTCCTCTCTTAAATTTAGTTGAAAACTATAGAATGGGAAGGAGAGGATAAACAGACCATAATTACAGAAGTTGCTTTGAGAAACCAGGCTTGGAAAAAAAAAAAAGTGGAGTCTTCCAAATCATGTGTCTGGCTTACTCTGTCAGCTCTTCAAAATCATTCCAGCTGTTGGTATATCTGGGATGGAAGAGTGTGTGATTTTCAACAATCCTTACTGCTGCCCACAGTTTTAGTGTTAAAATGTTTTTAAATACTTACGCTTTGTTTAGTGTAAATAGAAATTTTTATTTTGGCAGTTGAACTTGTCTGTCTTATGGTTRTACAGGGAGAGGTGATAGTTCTTGTTTTGTTAAAAACTTCCCCTAATATGCTCTCCCGTGCTGCTGCTCCTCTAGATGGAATTCAACGAGAAGGAGCTGCGGAGGGAGATAAGTTATGCCATCAAGAACATACACGGTATCAGGCAAGTGCTCCATGTTTTGCAGCCTGGTCACATTACACAGGTGGAATATCTTTCCAAAGCATTGCTTACAAGCTTTGTTGTTCTCAGTGTTTTGGAAAATGTTTCTTGTGCTACTTGATTAGTAAATTCTCAGATGGTTGACACTGGTAGCCATGGTGCAGTATTTGAACTTTCCTTACCTGATTGCTGGAGAGGTCTTGATTTATCATAGTGAACTGGTGGTTTTGGGCATGGTTTTTTTTTTTTTTTTCCTAGTTTGATTTTTTAATATAATTTATCAGCCAAGGTAGACCTTGGTGAGCAGTGTTTGAAACAAGAAACAAGGCCTGTTGGTTTAGAATTGGGTCTGTGGGATAGCTGTTTATAAGTTCATTTACTCTGCAGTGACCAACTGTGAAATTCTCCATGTCTGATTGAGTAACAAAACCACATTTGTGAGTGAAAAGTGCAGCCATAGGATTCTTATGGATTTGCTATGCAAGTGATTATGCATTGAGTGTTGCATCTGCAATACCTAGGATTTGATGCACTGCTGATGAGGCTTTGCTGCATTATATCAGTACTCCTCAGAGTTCTTGCAGTCCTCTTGCAGTATTTTCATCTTTCAAGCATGTTTCTACTTGGATATTTTTACTTAGAATGCCACTTTCTTTGAGAAAGGAGTAAATTGAGTTCTTTGGAAATAGCTGTTTGTGTAGGGATTGTTATTACTTAGCTCTGAAAAGGAAGATTTGAGCAATTTGGTAAAAAAAGTCCTAGCGTAATGTTTTTATTACTGTCTTACATTTTCTTTTATGTCCACAGAACAGGTTTGTTCACTCCAGATATGGCATTTGAAGCCATTGTTAAAAAACAAATAGTTAAGCTGAAAGGGCCTTGCTTAAAAAGTGTTGATCTGGTGATGCAAGAATTAATCAACACTGTCAAGAAGTGCACTAAAAAGGTAACTTGCACATATTTCTGGTAATGTAAGTAAAATGGAAGGGCATGGTACATAATACAAAGCCTGTCTTGCATTTTATGGTGGTACAAGAGATTTCTGATCCAGTCATTTGACAGAGTTAGACTTTCTGAAGTAATTACGACTCTGCAAAACTCTCAAAACAATGTAGTGATAGGAAAGGTGATTTTTGTCATTCTTTTGTTTTGATTCTTATGATGAGAGGTGTTTTTGAGTCAAGAGATGCCCTTCTTAAATCCATGTTTTTGCTTCTTAGCTGGAATGGCTGCTTTTGCTGTCCCACATGTCCATCTGTCTGTCCCATCTTTGCACTGCAGGGTACCCCATAATAGCAAGTACAGGAAGAGTTCTGGAATGTAAGCACATGCATGATTTGGTTGTTCATAAATATTATCTCACATCCTTTGCATTTTTCTGGAAAAAAAATGTATACCTGTGAGCAGGTAAAGGAGATACTTCTTAAAACAGGAAACACAAAAAACATAGAGAAGCGGATTGTCTGCTATATTTTCAGCAGAGTTGCCAGACTGCTTTCATTTTTGTCAGAGTCTGGAAGATATGTCTTGAATTAACTGTGCAGATGCTCTTCCCAGTGGAATTGGCCAAATTTACCATTTATTTTGCTGTATTGAAGTATTGTTATGTAAAGATGTTGCCACAAGGTGGAGCCTTTAAAGAACAAGAGATCTGGAAATCACTTGGCGCACCACTCTGGAATTAGGTACAATAGAAGAGAAAGAAACTTCACCCCTGATAGACTTTCATATGTCCAGAGTGTCTTTTCTTCAGTGTTCCATGGAGGAAAAGGACAGCAACAATCCAAGGGTTTAGGTTTCTCCAGTCTCTCTGAATAACAGCAAGTAAGGCTTGCTTTGTAGAGTGGTTAACCTTTAGTCACAAGTGTTTACAATATTTGCTTTCTTCAAAAGAGGAAAGCTGGAGGCTCCTCTGTTTGTATTCCACTCAAGCCCCTCTGCAGGTGTAAATTGCTGTTAATTTTGTGTTTCAGTTGGCAACATATCCAAGGTTGTGTGAGGAAACAGAAAGAATTGTTGCTGGCTACATTCGTGAAAGAGAAGAGAAGACCAAGGATCAGGTGAGAATAGGAGATCTGACAGTTTGGGGAAGTGTGTGAGGGAGAACAGTTCTTATATACAAAGGGCAGTAGGACAATGAAAGATTCTGGTTTTTTTAATAGGCTGCAAATTTTAGAGAGGAAGAAAAATTGCTTAACACTGATCTTTGACAGAGACTATGATTGTTACAGCAAAGTTAAGTAGTGGCTTAAAATAGTGTTGGTTTGTTCCTGTGCCAGTGTGCCAACTTCTTAGCTGTGCCACTGGAGCTGTTTGTGGGAAATCCATTATTGATTAAACAAATACACACAGGAATAGCCTGTTTCTACTTTGTTTACGTATGTTTTTAACATACCCATCCCATGCACCAACCCCTCACTCTAATTACAGTGAGGCTCACAAACAGTTGTACTGGGACTCTTGATGGAGTGACAAGTTTCTTTCAAGTGAAAAAAAAAAATTAAAATAAGAAAATTCAGAGAAATTTGGTTAAAACATTCATCACCCAGCTAAACACTCCTGATCCAGGAAACTGCAAATCTTRGATTACATGTGAGAAAATCCATTGGAGTGAAAACTCCATTGGAGGAATTATTGTCTGGACASTGCAGAGAGTGACAATAGAGATACTGGGGAAGAAGAACTTGGCAGAGTTCCTAAGCTGTTCTGAATTCCTGSCTCTCTAGTCCTGTCCCTATGCAAGCTGGGGAGCTGTGCAGCACATTCTGCTTCTTTAATCTGTGCTGCAAATGTAGTTCTTAAAAATAATTAAAAAAAATAGCTGTGCTTGTACATGCAGGGAGTTCTAGTTTGGAGACAGTTATCTCAAAATTTTTGAGAAAATACAAGTTGTTTAAAATAATTCAGTTTTATTTTCCCATTCTTCGTTTTGTGCAGATACCTGACTATTTCCCAGAACTAAGTACAAAATATGGGATATTTGTAAATGCCAAAAATTAACCAAATAGGTTATTGTCACATTCACATCATTATTTATGCTGTTAGCAGTTATCCTTAATAAATCAAAACACTAGTGAGAATATTTTCAGAGGTAAGAGATGGAGCAAAAAATTAGTGGGGATTTAAGTCTAAGTGTGGCATCTACTATCATCTGGAAATGGTGAAGAATTTGGGAGTAATGTGACATTTGAGGAGCTGTGCCGAAATAAGACTTAAGAGATTAAATGCTACCATTTGGTAGCAATAGGTTTCTTCCTTGCTCCCTCTGAWAAATGCAAGTCTGAAAAGATAGGGGTGAAGTGCGATCTCCTGCATTTCCCATAGCCTGTTGTAGGGTGGGAAGGGTTTACTAATATCTTAGCAATTTCTATACTGAGTTAGATTGTCTAGGTTKAATCAAGCTCTCCCTGGGCTGTTGAAGGACTGACAAGTGATAAGYACACAAATCATTCTGTTATTTTGGTGATAGCCCATCTCTCAGTTCAGATGTGCACACCAGAATGGCTGTCTGGTGCCTGGTCTGGACATTTTCTGGGCCAGGACTGGATTACTTATCCCTGCTTTGTGTGATATRTAAAGAAACTGTAGGTACCTGGATTTTAGGTTTAAAGTTCGGATTCCTTGCTGGCTTGGCTGGAATGTTCCAGATAGACAGAATTTTGCTTAGCTTGCAAAATGCAGAGCTGGATTCTGTGTTATATAATTATTAAAATTCTCTCTTCCCATGTATGATTGGTATTAATGGAATGAATGAGGGCCAAGATAGTGAAAAATGAGGTCTGTTAGGAAAAAAAGTAAGAAGAGGGAATAGGACTTCTGTAGTCTAACTTATTAAACAAGCACAGAACAGAAGCAGAGGAATTTAGAAAATATTGCCTTTGGCTTGAAAAATTACGAAAGCAATATTCTGTAATGCAGAGAGCTCAAGAGTTCTGTTTTTYTCCTCCCTTCCTTTTCTTCAATCTCTCTTTTCCACCTTACCCATCCTATTTTGCTCTCCTRTCTCCCATAATAGATGCTGCTGCTCATTGATATCCAGGTTTCTTATATCAACACCAACCATGAAGACTTCATTGGCTTTGCAAAGTAAGTAGATGAAAACCTTGTTATAAAGACACTGYTAGGCTTTTTTGTTTATTTGCTTGGGGCTTTCTTATTATGTTCAGAACACAAGCCCTGAAGTGTGACAGTGAAGATACAAGCTGCAGAGTCCCAAACATGCAGGACCATGCTCTTTCTCAAATCCACAGTGTTGAACTCTGTCCCAGTTGCAGGGGAGTGTTCACCCAGTTCACAAGCCTGGTTTCAGTGAAGCTGGAKCYTGTGTTGGTCTGSAATCACATGTATTTCAGGACCTCAGAGATGGGTATTGGTGGTCTTTTTACATTGTTATTAATGCATACTTTGGGAGCTGTGATTCTGTGTGAAACAGTTTTGCTCAGAATAATGGATGTCACTGAATTATAAGTGTGCCTGCTGTTTGGCTGTAGAGAATAATAGTAGCAGAATGCCCTGCAGGGCCTGGTTTGACRTTCTCCTCGCTTAATTGAAAAGGCTGTGAGAATATTTTCCAGAATGTTCTCCCTCAGTTTCCAGCAATTTGTGCCTCAGGGACTTCATACCAACATTTTGACACTAGTGAAAACATTGAAGATGTCTGCACTCTTTGAAGAAGAAATGTTCCTTCAGACATATTCATGCCATATTTGCCATAACAGYGACTGGAATCACAGCAGGTTTCGGCCATGTGGGATGCTGGCAACAAATTTTGGCACCAYAGTATGTATTTGAGTCTGGCCAATTCTAGTTAGCACAATGAAGGAAGGTCCACTTCTTTGGCATTGTGCCTCGAAGGTTTAAAACATGGAGTTCAGGAAGCTGAGAGGGGAGAAGGCAAAGCCAAGCACTATTTATGGGTTTGGTTTAAGCAACTTTCTCTAGAATTGTTTAGAGGTCCTGGATATCTTTATCAGTTCTCTTGACAAATGACAGGATGTTGTAGGAATGGTAGCTGGCCTTCTAGAGGTCAAGATAACAACCTGCCTATTTGCTACTCTTCATCCTTTTCTGACAGGAAAAAGCCTGCTAAAAACACTCCATGTATATTCACGGTGTGTGTTGTGACCTTGAAGAGTCACATAGACCCACCTCCTGCTCAGAGGAGGGTCCATGCCRAGTTCAGACCAGGTTATTCAGGATTTTGTCCAATCAGATCTGGAGAATTCCCAAAACTGGAGATTCTCCAGCCTTTCTGTGCAAGCCCATTCCAATGCTTGCCTTTCCTTACTGTGAAAATACATTGGTTTGTGTCAAGTTGGAACTTTCCATATTTTATAGTATTGGATTCTGAAGTTCCAGGTGTATCTGGAGCTATTTCATAATGTTTCTCCCCTGGAAAAATTCCCCTCATGGATATTGCTCCTTCAGCCTGTAGTTCAGTCCATGGTCCTTGCTGCTGTGTCTTTGCAATTCCTGAGTTCAATTTCTTGGGAAAGCTGCTTCCCCTTTTGCCAGCTGAGATCTGGAAATCCCCGAGTGCTGTGTATGGGGCATAAACAAATAACAAGTGATTCTTTGTTTAAGTTCACTGGTAAGTTTAAGCAAGGCTTTCTCTAGGCTGGAATGGATGGGGAGGAAAGTATCCTTGTTGACTTCTGCTCAACTGAAAGAGAAAATTTAGATAGCAAAGAAGAATTTAAAATATGTTCACTTAAGAGACAAACAGGAGAAAATATAATTTGAAACTATGAGAGTATTATTGTTATGGTAGTTATGTTAGAACTGGAAAATGAAATAATTTGGGTAGCATAAGGGCTTCTGCAGTATCTAAACATCCTGGACTGKAGATTCCAGATTCCCTGGTGTTTCCTTTCCTTTGCTGAGCCTTCTAGCCCCTTGTCTCCTGTGGCTGCAGTGTTTTAATAGTGTAAGTCTTGTGGACTTTGATCATAATAATGAGAGCAGAAGACATTTCAAACTTCCTTGAACCACTGCAGGGCCTGAGGCAGGTACAGTGYGATGTGAATTGTCTTGAGAGGGATTTAAGGATGCCAGTATTTAGAACAAATTTGCATAGTTATAAAATTGCAGAATCTTAGAATATTAATATTTGTCTCATTTGGCAGAACTAATGGCAACATTCTGGGCTTGGGTTTGTTTCTAGCTGGTGTAACTGGGACACAGCTATATGCTTCAAACTACATAAAGAGTAATTTATTTTTAGAACAGTAAGTAGAGGACCARTTGCTGGGCTATTTCTAAAAGGCAYGGGTTTCTTAGTATGATGTTAATGGTCTAATTAGCTTTCCTAAGGTGATAAAATGAAGAACACAAACAAGGAGTTATTGGTGTGTTTTCTGTGTGCACTTTATTTAATCATGGTTTATGTATCAAATCTTATGCAACTCAGATGATGTACCAGGGACATGCAGTGTTGTTTGRTCAAAAGCATCAGGATGATTGAGCTGAACACAGTGAGTAGGCACATGGAATAAATATCCTTGTAGATCTTCTCACAGACAACATGTGGACTGCTGGTTTGATAGTGTGGTCCAAAGGGCAGGATCAGAATTTGGACGAGGGTTCATTTTGGTGCTTCATCAATTCTTTGGAGCAGCAGCTGTGCAGCAAACAGCAGCAGGATGGGCCCATAGGCTCTAATCCAAGCACATCTCTCTGCCTTTGTGTTTCAGAGCAGCCTTTGTAGCTGCTCTAATATGGATGCTTTTTTCTTCAGTTAATCAATGACTGGTGAAATGGTATAATCTAATCCAAACAAAACTTCCTGTCACCAATGAAGTGCTGGTGGCTGAGTAGCCAAAGCCTGCTCTCTGAATGCTTTTCTTCTTTCCAGCAATATTTTAATTTTGTGGCCTAACACAAACTGCCACATAATGCAAATGCTTTTAGAATTAATGGGAACTTGTTTGGTTTTGAGACAGGAGTGTGTTTTGTTTCAGGAACTGGGATCACCGAAGTCCAAGAATTGAACAAAATATTTTAAATATGGTTTAATTCCAAATGTGCTCTATTCTTATAAAATTTTAGCTTTGAACCAACTTTATGATGGCTTCATCCATTGGTTATTTTTACACCGTCAAAGTGCATATAAATATTAGAATAATATCCAAAACAAACTGTCAAGACAAAGCTATTAAGGAGCCTCCTGCAGGGGAGGATTTTGTTGTACTGCTCTAAATAACAGAAATGGCTTGTTTTTTGTCTCTTCTGAATATTTATAGAGGCTAATGTTTCCAAAGTTACCCACATGAGCCATAATTTCTCTGTGCTTTTAGTAACCTTTACCAATCCAAGAAGGATGTTGTTGCAAAGGAGATGATTAGTAGGAGATATTTGCTGTGCATGTGCCTTCTGTCTTTAGCAGGCAAATATAAGCAGGTAGAGAAGCTGTTGAAATATGCACAGATATGCAATGATTTTCCCGTGTTTCTTTTGCTGCGTTAATCGGGCTTTCTCTGCTGGAATCAAAATTATTGCTGCTAAGATTATTCCTCAGGAACTGGCTTAGTTCAAGTTTCTTCAGTATAACTCTTTTCCTCTGCTTCCCTTAGTGCCCAACAAAGAAGCAGTCAGGTTAACAAAAGTGCAGTGGGAAATCAGGTAGGCACCTAACAGAGAATGGATAATGGCATGTGCAAGTTAATCCAAGCTCTTTGGTTTTCTTGGCTGCATTTTCTTGTTGTGAGTGTATCATTTACCTTTTTTTGCTTCAAACATACATAAATGTGTCCTCATTGCATTGTTTTGCTGAACTTTTCAAAGCCACCTGACTTCCATTGTTATCATCATTTACTGTTTAGCATTTCTGCTGCTGCTTGCACTGCTGGTGTCTCCCCTCCCACGCTGTTTAGTGCATTGAATCTCTCATGTTACACAGCAGTGTTTTGTCATTAACTGCAAACCTGTGAATTTCAGAATCCCAAATGCTGGTGAGTACTTGCTTCTGTGTGCTTTGTCATAGTGTTTTGCTGCTTCTCGTGTGTTCACAGCTGAACAGCAGTGAAGGGTAATTCAGCAAACCCATGTGGATTTGCCTTTACTTCTTCTGCAGTCTTTCGGTTGACTTCACACAGTTGTTGACTATTTACYATAGACCTTTCTTGAAGTAAATGAAGAATACTGGTTGATGGTCTCAGATTAATTAGCATCTTCACTGAGATGCATTAATGAAATTAATTGTTTGTTTCTTTTTGTGAAATAAGAATATGGGATTGGTTCTGCAAAGTGCTTGGTGCTCCTGAGCCTGCCTTCTTTTTCTGTTTTATGTGGGCCAGAGGTTCTCAGTACTTTTCAAGATCAGTCCTCTTCTTAATATGAGGTGAAAATAATGAAAATGCTACAACTTGGAGAGTTTCTGCTCACTTTGAGGGTTTTGCAAAGTCTCAAACAGAAAAAAAAGTAGTTATGGAACTAGTACATCGTTGAGAATGAAACAAAAAATGGTAGCAAAAATAAAACAATGAAGYGTTGCATAATTACCAGTATTTAACATCTTCCTGGTGTTTTTACATGCAATTTGGTTAAATAATGCCTGGGAGGTGAGCGGTCAAGGTTTTCAAATGTGACCTCTGAGTTTAGATCCAGGCGAGAAACCTGAAATTTCAGTAAGTTTCCTACTCTGCTGCTGTTGTAGACAAGAGTTCTTGGCATTTTCTGGAAATGCAGTCATCTTTTTGGGGCTGGAAATTCAATCTCTTCSTCTCACCAAGAAATTACTAGTTCTTTTCAAGATATTTCTTAAAATAATCCAGTAACTTCTTGGATGTGATGGTTCCCCACAGCCTGACCAGCATGAGTGGCATTTTTGATGTAATATATGGTTTGGATTAAAATTAAAAAAAAAACCCAACTGGAAGGTCTAAACACTGCAATGGCTTCAAAGAGCAGCCTCTCCCCTCTGAGGAGAGATTTCCTTCTTATCTAGCTGTGCCGGAACATGTGTCAAACACAACGACTGTCATCACTTTGGWGTGTCCCATAAAAGGAAAAGCGACCAATTATCTGGCTCTTCAAAAATACACAAATAAAATGAATGATTTTTWAATGGAGTGAATGTTTTCTCTCCAAGGAAGTGAAAAAAAGCTTGGTGTTTTAAATTCAATGTTGAAAGTTGGTTACTTGTGGTATAAAGGACTTTGCTGAACCTTTTATTGTAGAGATAATAAACAGATGTTTGTAAGTTGATTGTTTGGAGTTGAAAAGAATGAGAAAATGTTTCTGAAATAAAACWTCATTTTTGCAATTTGCTATTTCAGGGAACCAATCTACCGCCTTCAAGGCAAATTGTACGAGCTAAGTTCTGTAAGCTTTATTGTTGCTTTTTCATTTAGCTTCTCAGAGGGCAAAGTTTGTCTCTAACTCATTGGTTTGTCCAATACTTGCTGCTAAACTATTTAATGTTAAGCTGTCTTGTCTCTAACACTTCCTCAACAAAGTGTAATTGCAGTTCATCACGTAACTGCTACTAACCTGCTGTTACCAGTCTGAACTAGTATAACTTAAAATGTTGTAGAAGACTTTGTATAGAATTAATATTTKTATAATTTACCAAGTTTCTCAAACTAAAATGACTACTTGATGTTTATTTTATTATATAACTGGAAAGCAGTTTTTATCTGATGTAAGTGCCTCTATTCATAGTAAACCTCTCTTTGAAAGGTGGGCAAATAAGTTTCTGGTAACCAAAAGGAAACATTAGCTCTCGTGTAAATGAACGTGCTGTTTATGGATACAGGTACTGTTCTTGRTGTTTTGTTTATGTCAAGGAATTACTTCTGATAGAAAAAGTGAGTTTTATGAACTAAAATATTTAAAGCCTTTTTAGCATTCTTTTTGTAGCACCAAGGAGGATCAATATATCACGGACAGACTCTTTTCTAACCCTTCCACTTCATGAGTAAATAAATATGTGAATGTCTTTAATATTACTAATTAGAATTAATTGTCTAAACTGCAGTTAATTTTATAACGAGTTACTACCAGTTCAGTGATGGTTAGGTGTGAGAAATAATTTCTGCATTTTGTGTCATCTTTGGTAATACCTGTGATGAAAAGATACATTTTTTCAGTTTGTTGCCACATCATCAAATTCTATTAGTTGTCATTTTCAATTCAACTTATAATCAGTGGATTAGGCAGTACTGTTTTTAACAGCAGTTGAATTGAATCCCTTGGGGAGATCCAGATTACTGAATTTTTCCTCAAATAGTGGGATGCTCATTTGCTTTTCTTTTTTAGTAGCTTGCTTTGAACTGGAATGATGCAGATAACTATTAACTCTTTCTGTATTTCTCGGAAATAAGATGAACACAGCAGCACCTTATTTTTGGATAATAATGCGAATTCCTCTTAACATGGTTTTTTTTTCTCCTTTTTTGCTCTACTACTAATTTATCCTCTCACGCTTAATCTTTGGCTTTTTGTGTTTGTCTTTTCTTTGCTACCGCCTGAGGTTTTGACCTGACTCCACAAAGTTTCTTTTTAAGCCACAGGTTAGTCTGTCTTCTAATTTGCTTGAAGTAATCCATGCAATGCTTGGTTTTACACAGCACACTAGCAAGGTTTGGCTCCTGAAAGCTGATCCACTCTTAACTGTACATGTTGTGTGCTGAGATTTGTTTTGGTGACTAAAATTCAATGTTTTAAGCTCCCCTTCATGATAAAGCTTTAAAGAGGAAGGTGTCATTGCTCCATGCCTAATTGATGTTTGTGAGAATGCAAGACACTCAAATTATAGAGATTTATTTAGAATTTATATGAGACTCTATTTTGTGTTTTGCTTCTGTGGCAAAATCTGCTGCTGTGCTTGAAGTAGCCCTGTAATTGGAGAAAGGGCTTGATGTGAACTGTGAGTCTCATGGCAGTGTCCAAGTGATGTGGAGGTTTGGTCTGARGGCTTTGTTTGACCTGCCTCTTTTATAGAGTTAAACCAGCAATCTGATTCATTTATTCCAGGCACAAGTAGCATTCATATGCCATCAGCTTGTTCTTAGAACAAGAACTATAGTTCTAATAGGTAACTTTTCCCCTAGTAACATACTGCCCTCCCCTTTTTATTTATTTATTTTTTTTTTAATCCTGCTTTGTAGCATACTTTGCTGTTTCTTTTCTTCAGATATACTTAAATCCTGTTATCTCACATGGCCCAGGAGAAAAATGTTTAGAGAAATTTTTTAAGCAACCAGATGGAAATGGAGACTTGTGCCATGGTCAGTGACGTGGTCATAAAAAGTCATGACAAAACTGTTCCCTTAAGAAATGTCAGTATTTTTATAAAGAGTGCCCATGATCTAACGTTCAAAAATATTTCAAAATTTAGCAGCATGAGACCTGATGGTTTTGAATGTTCACTTAATCAAGTCTTAGAAGACTATTGCTGTTCTAAATGGCCTTTAACTATTTTTTTGGTTTATATTCCTTCATGTTTGACTTACTTCAATCTTTAATTATATGCAGAAGCATTTTTCAGTTTTTTATCCCTGAGAGCTTTGCTTCAGGAAAGACTAAATTTTTCTTTAAAGCAGACATGGTTTTAGGACTTTAGCCACTGTCATTCTTAAGTTACATAATACATTGTGCAGTGATTTGTAGGGAAGCAATGTCACAAGATCTTGGCGGTGTTGAGTATCAGAACGGATCTGATCAGTTCATGCTGTGACATTTGGCAAATTACCAAAGTGAAATACTGTAGTAGGTTTCCTCTAATACATTATAGTTTCTGTAGTATGAGGATCTTCATAACTGGAGAAAGCTTGTAAGGATGCCTCCCTGAGCAGTTCTTGCAATTTTTATTCTCTCCTATGCTTACTATTTGGTAGCACATATCATTATGTGACAGTGAYTGGAAGATAGAGTGGTACTGGGAGTTGTGTTCTGTGTTCAAAATTATTTCAATGGAGTTACGCAACACAACTTTATTGGTGTTATATTAACAAGTGCTGCTGCTTGTGGTGTTGTGGGAGTGTCCAGTCTCATGATTCTCACACTTGTATTTGTCTGCCCAGTTTCATGTATCTCACTTATCTTGAAATCATCCTTCCGATAGTTTCAAATACTTCTTTAAAGAATCAGAAAGTGTCCCATTTCCTTGAATATATTTCTTTTACAAATGCCTTATTTGATTTATTGCAATTAAAGTCATACAGCAACACATAAATTGTGCTTATTGTGTAAAATCCTACTTTCCTGTTTATCCATGAAGTGGTGGAGAGTAAGAACAACAAATATGATTTGGGTTTTGTGCAGCTGAACTATGAGAAAATTATTTCCTTCTGGCTTGTTCATGTGCATTCAGAGCCTCTAAGTTTCATTTTTCAGTCACCCAGATTAGGTATCAGGATCCTGAAGGAAGGAACTGTGTCATCTCTTGTTCATCCTGTGCATGGAGTCCAACTACCGGTCAGAATATTGTCTCCAGCAGCTTCTGGCAGTGCCCATATTTTTCACCTTCCTGGAGTTCATAACTCATGTCACTGACATCCGGTCTKCACAGAATGACATTTAGAAATATGATAGAAAATACTGAAATGGATCTCTTAGTTACACCCCAATGAGAAAATGAACTAGTGAGAACAATGATGAAACACAGGACTTGCATGTTTCAAGCTGAAGTACTATAAAACAAAGCAAACATAACAGTTCAAAAGAACTCCAAAACAATAGCTCTTCACCAGAGTTTTAACTTCARAAGTGCCTTTGAAAATCTTACCTTCTTATTCCTTAGGGAGGAACACTTCTAAAATACAGCTTGAAGGATTTTCTTTTTGCGAAATTGTCTGGAGTCTAAGGTGCAATTCAGCTTCTCTGGAAAGTAGGTTGCTTTATCTCACTTTGTCTAGCACTTATATTTTGATCCAACATCTCCCTCTCCTTTATGTCTAATGCACACTGATGCTGTGTCTTCTCTGAGTGTAGCTTTTTGTAGTTAACAGAATGTGCCTGGGAAACAGGAAAAATTCTGTGAAAAGGACATGAGGCTTAGCACACTAAGCTCATCATCTCCCTCTTGGTGTCCCCTGGAGCAGCTTCCTAGTGTTTTACATTGTTATGATCTGTTGCAGAGTCAAAGATATTTTAAAGAACATAGCACCCTGTTTTCCCAGAGGGGTATAGATAAACAGATATAGAAATTTCATATGGAAAACACACACACAGGACATTGCTGCAGGTTGATGTCCTGCTCTTCATGCAGTGTTGCGTGGGAATGACAGCTGGATCTAATCCTTGGCACACAGATTTTTGAAGAAACAACTGGCAAATTTCTTCCTTTACAAGACGGTGACCAGTGCTTATATTAAAAAGTCAGCTGGTTTCTGTCTACACCCGGTGATGGTTGCACATTTATGGGASACGTGTTGGACTGGAGTATGACAATTCCTACCTTAGCAGTATTGAAACGCTTCTTAAATGGCATGTATAGTTTACTTTTTAAAATGTTGGCTTGGTCTGTTCTGAGACTTCTACCACAAATGCCTTCTTGTCAGATTGAGAAAATTTGACTCTACTAAGGTGTTACAGAGCCTATGGTAACAGTAAGGGAGAGGCCTGGATGGAATAAGCAAAGAATGCTACTTCCCTTCCCTTTGAAGTGCTCATCACCTGTAAAGTTCTTGAACTGCCGCTCAGGTCTTCCTGACTGGTTTGCTTCTAGAAACCACCTCTTTATCTTCTCTGACATCTGTCTTCAAATCTTTTACTTTCTCTGAGATATTTCCTCAAAACAATTTTCTCCAAACCAGGTGCTGGCCAGGCTGCCTGATCTTCCTGTGTGTGGATACAAGTTTTATATGGAGCAATATGGCATTTTCAATTGCAGACATTATGGTTCAACAGCATCCTCCCTCCCAGCCTCTTATTTCAGTTTCTTTATAGCATGGGAAGAACCATCTGTGCACAAGTGCTGTAAAGTCTTTAGTCTGCTGTGCAAATACAGSTCCCCTTCCTGCACACCTAAGTTCAAGTGAATGGGGGACCTTGAATTCAATGCTTTTCCCAAAAAACTTTTCCCTTTGCATTTGTTTAGTTCAGCACAGAAGGAAAAAGTAGAGTTAGTTTGGTTCTACAACTTGYCCTGTGGCAGCTGCTGAAGGCCAGTACCCTGGCTGTGTATACATATTACTTGTTTCCTATCAAAAACTTATYTGAATAAACATCATAAAATGAAATGAAGATTTGATGGGTAATCAAGTTCTTATCACTATGTTTCCCTTTACTTGCACTGAGGCAAGCATTCCATGTATGTTTGTACTCACGAATGCCCCTCTCCAGTTAGGGKTTTTTTTCCCCCCAGTGAACATGAATATTAAAAATCCTGACCCACTTTTGTAGAAACCTATGTGGAACAGGCTGCTTCATCCAATCTGCTTGTGCCATACCCTTGAGTCTCTTGACAGGAGTCATGTCCAGTTCTCTCATCCCTTACTGTGGCTTTAGAACCAAATCAATGCTTTCTTAGAGATTTTCTTACAGGCTGCAAACTTACAGCCTGGTTTTGGATCTTCAGGGCTTTTCTTACATTACTAGCCTGGTTGGTGGTAATTGGGAAAACGCATTCATCTTCCTTGAAACAAAATTTATGCTCTTGGATTATGTGCATTTCCAATACAATATCCTGCTTTTCAGGTGCACCTTTGGATCTCTTCTTTAGTTTAGTTACCAAATATAATTSAGTCCCTTGTTCTATGCAAAACTAAAGCTGTTATTTTTAGGATCTTACATGAACAYCCATGCTGAATAGGGGTGAATTCTGGTTCTGAAACTTTTATAGATGGCAAGTGATAGTGAGCCACGTTCTTCTCTGGTGAGTTGTTGGTTTTGGAGTCATAGGTCTTGTAAAGCCGTGTGAGAGGAATGTTGGTCTCATATTTTTTTGAATACAAGAGAAAACTCATATTTGATCACACATGCCTGTGCCTGTGGGACTTGCTGAGGGGCTTTGAAGGGCTTCTCTGAGCATTTCTTTCCATCACAATATTTCACAGGCAAGTGAAGGGTGTTGTTGTGCAGACAAAGAAAAGAACTGAGGTTCCTTGTATCTGTGTGATTGGGAGACTTCTGTTATCTTGTTCAGAGTATGGTAGGAAGGAGTATTTGCTTTCGCATTTATATTGGAAAACAGTAACTGTTCCAATAAAATTGAAAGTTTCCATTTGATCTGTAAATGAGTTTTCATGGTTATTCTCTGTTCTTCCTCTCTGGAGTTGTCTCATTTCTCTTAGGTTTTCTGTTGTTCCCCTTTCTCTATGCATGCTGTAGCCTCCTGACCTTAGTATTTATAGGAATGTTCCCATTTGTTCTTTAATCTTTGGCTTGCATCTGTTTTATAAAGTTTTGCTTTACCCGTTTTCCCCCTGATTTTTGTTGCTGCCATAGTGGTTTGGTTTTTTTTTTCCTATTTTCTTTTTCTCTTCCACTATATGAGACGAAAATGGCTCTCACATGCTTCTCCTTACCACTTCCTACCTTAATTTTAATTTAAGTTAGGACACCTTTCCCCTTTGTCACTCCATACAAACACTTCTGAAAATTCCCAATGTGAGAAGCCACTCACTTTACCAGAATGTAGGTGCTTTTCCTGGTATCTGCCTTTATAAATGCCCTTAACAATTAGACCAGAACAGTGTAGTCAGAGATAAAGTGGCATGGATTTTAGAGTGTGTTATTATACAGCAAACAAATATCTTCAGCTTACATGTTTCTTAACACACTCATGCTTGCTGTAAGTACAACATTCTGATGGGCTTCTTTCTTTCTCCAGCTTTTGACTGAAAACACTTTCTTTGACTGATACTCACTTTATTACTTTTTTTTTTTTTGAATGATAGAAACCTACAAAAACTCTTGAATTTCCCAGAGACTGAAAAAATGCACGTGTTCTTGTTTCATTTAGCAAGTCTTTATTGAAAAGAATGAATGCAGCAGCAGAACTATGTCAAGTGAGTAATGAACTAAACTTGTACCTGACTGCACCTCTGCATAGGTCATCCGGAAAGGCTGGCTCACCATCAACAACATCGGCATCATGAAAGGAGGATCCAAGGAATACTGGTTCGTTCTAACTGCAGAAAGCTTGTCCTGGTATAAAGATGATGAGGTAAGGAATGAAGAACTTTTTTTCTATTGGGGAAAAGCCCAGTATTAATACAGTCTTCTGAYACCAACTTAAAATATTAAATCAGCTTGTGTAAACTTGAATTGTTTTAAGGTTTTAGCTGTGTTCTTTAAATTTCTGGTTTGATTCACAAATTATGCTGATTTTCTGAGACTTCTTTTGAAATGCTGATAACAAGTGGGGTTTTTTTAATTTTTTTTTCTATTTTTTTATTTTGTTTTGTTTTGGGTTTTTTGTTTAGTTGGGGTTTTTTGTGTGTGTGTTTTTGGTTTTTTAAAAATCTTTTCTTCTGTGATTTCTATACATTACTTCAAAAAAAGAAAAAAAAAGTCCATGCTCATTTGAAATATTATGCTTATTGTCTTACCCTTGCTTAGGCTGCTCGTATATCTGCTGCAAGCTGATCATAAATTATCTGGATGAAGTTACTTCTGAAAGTAACTACAGCAATTGATTTAATGAAAACTTGGTTTTGGTCTTAAATTCTGCAAGGATGAAAGGCTTATCTGCAGAGTTCTGTAGCTGATTGGTRTGGATTTTTAGATTTGACAAAAAATGTGCCTTTGTGGGCGATCATTAAATCTGAGGTGACTAATATGGGAATTGGAAAAAACATTTCTCTGGTGAAAATGACATCCACGTTGCTTGCTTTATTGACTGTATTGTTAGGCGGCTTGTGTGTTGTCTTTAATTACTTTTTCAACTATGTTTGTAATGATGCACTGTATCCAAAATTCCAGCAGTATTTTTAAAGTGTTTTGGAGGTTAAAACAGGATTAATATGTGTGTTCTCAGATTTATGGTAAAGTTTTTGTGAGGTTTTTTTAAGGTTTGTTTTGGTTTGTTTGTTTATTTATTTAGGTTTTGGGCTACATTTGAAAAAAAACTTATGATTTCCTTTGCCCCTTGCCCTTTTATTTAAATTTTAAAGGAATTCAAATGTACTGTAAGAGGAGATCTGGTGCGCATCAGGCAGAGGGGAGGCGCCAAGGGACAGGTGTCAAGAGGGGAAGTTTTACTCTCAGATTGCTGAAATGTAATTTGAAAAAACGTGCACTAGTGACTTTATGAATTTGAAAATTAGAAGTTGCTGGTTTTTGTGATCTACCTTGAAGAAGTTAATATAACCTTCTTTTTTAGGTGAGATACAGGTAACTAACTACAGCAAGCATGTGGCAAAATTAACTTCCCTGGCTGTGTTCTGTCCCAAGCRTTTGGAGGTGCATCTAAGATGAGCTGTGGCAGTTTTTTTAGATAGTTTTGATGTTGCTTTTTTTAATCTGATCTTTGTTTAGTGTGAAATATAAAAGGTCCTGAGGATGCTAATGGCATGTCTCGTGCCATGCAACTTTAAAAATAGTTTTGTTTGTCTGCTGAGGAGAGTCACCCGGGAACTTCAGAATAGTACACAGAAAGAAATGTCAACTGTGTGATTTCCATATGCATGTTTTAAGATAATGTCTCCTAATGACCAAACAGTTATGTTTTGAGAGTCATAAAAATGTCAGTAGTTAATTAAGGTTATGGGAGATCACTCCAGAACTTCTTAGAGTGGTAACAGAAGATAATATCACAGTACTGTTGGACATTCTGCTGGTGAGGGAAGTTGCTCCTCAAGTACAGATTAGCTGTATAATGTGCTGTATAATGAGAGTTTATAAAGTTACAATTTCTTTTTATTTTTTTTTAATTTAAAAAAATTCTTTCTTTTTTTTTTTTTTTTTTTTTTTTTTTTTTTTTTTTTTTTTTTTTTGTACTGGACCTTCTTAGTAAGACTGAAAAAATTTGTAAGGCTCCTCAGTTGATAACTGAAGTAGCTGTGTGGGGGTGTTTTTCCCCCCGGTGAGATGGCAGTCTCGGTGATGTGAGAAGTGATCCTGGTGTTTGTGTGTCTGGCTGTGCCCTGCGAGGTTGAGGCAGTTCAGAGCTCTCATTCTCCTGCTGGGGCTGGCCAGGAGCCTTTCTATGGCAGCTGGGGAAGGTGCAGAGTCAGGTCTCACCTTGCTTCTSCTGCCACGGTGAGGAGTTTGTTCCCCCTGAGCCTGTACCCCTGAGGAAGGAATGCTGCAGCAGCTTTGTACCAGAGAGCTCTGACAATGTGCTTTGCAAAGCTACAGTGCCTGCTGGGGCCTCCAGGGCTGGGTACCCCCTCTAGTGTAARCTGAGCCTGTTTTCTGGACTGGAATTTGCTCTGAGATCAAAATCACTAGTGGTTGCTTGCTAGTGCYGTTAGAAGGATGTAAATTCCTTTGTTTGTGAGGTGCAGCTTTTATAAGTGATGAATCCACAGTGTAATCCATTTAGAAGCAATTAGCTTTGGCAAAAGATTTCAGATTTTGCTTTATGATACCAATATTAGAAAAGAAACAATTGGTTTCTTCACATGGTTTTGTTGTTGTCATACATACATCAGGATTTTCTTCCTGATGAGAGGGATTCAGTGTCTAATAATGCTTTTTATAATTGTTAAAGAAATGCCAAGTTGGTGTTTGAACAGTGTGCTTAAAGCAGTTACATTATCAGTTCTGTGAGTACTAACCTGGCTTAGTTTCTGATCCTGCATACAGTTGCTTCTATTCATAACTTTGCTGTGTGACTAGTACCATGACTTTGTGCTTTTTTACTTAAAAATGAAGCAAGGAAAATGCTGTGTGCTGGCTTTGAGGCTRTTGTAAACAAGTGCAAGATCAGCACACTTAATGACCTCACAAATAGAGATTTATTTTGTAGAGTATYCCATGTAATCCTAGCTGATGTATTATAAGGCACGTCTACACACATGCAAATTATTAAATCTGAGCATTTTAGCTCTCAGTTGTTACTGTTCTGTTAAGTACCATTAACTAAGGKTCATTTGAGAGTCAACCTGCAAATGTGAAGTTTGTGAATTTGGATGAAGTGGACTTAGGGAATGTGGAATGTCATCCTAGTTTTTGAATCAAAAACCTCTTACTGCAAAGAAATTTATGCCATTTGTAAAGTGGTGTAGCATTTTTACAGTGCGTGGTCACAGAATGTGATTTTATTATTCTTTTGAAAGCATCCAGAGATTTTACTGGCCTTATTGGTGTGCAAAGGATGCCAAGCTRGACTCTAGGATTAGAATTTCTAAAAATGTGAAATTTATATTGATTAGGAAATCCCCTTCAGTCTTATTTCCAAAGAAAATATTTCCATTCTGTTTCAATAGGAAATAATATTTTTGTCAACATCCAGTGATGGATGCAGTTTGTATTAAAATTTCAGAGTTTCTTCCCAATTGTAAAACTGTGTGAGATTTGAGAGTGAAATGACATAAATAAGAGAGGAGGTGAGAGAGTGGAAAGGGGAGAAGTTACTCTAAGGTCTGACATTGTGTACGTTTACAGAATTAACTGCCACACAGTAAGCTGCTCTTGGCTTCTGTGGYGAGCAGGAATGTCAGTGGGTTTTATACAGCAACAGTCGAGTTACGCCTGGGAAGCAAATGGGAGAACAAAACATACGGAGGTGCGGCAGAGGTGCGTACAAATAAAACTTACTGATAGCCAGTTCATGAGAACACCTAGGAAAAGAGTACTATAGGAAGCACAGTAAAAATTTCAGCAGTGGGTTTTATTGTACTTCAGAGGCGGTGTTGGTTTGACTGTGGCTGGGTTGCAGCCCGCGGCTTGGTTACTGACCGGCCGTCTGAGGTCCAGAGCGACTCTTGGCTGGAGCTGGTGCTGCAGACGCTCTGGGGTCAGAGCGGGGTCCCACTGGCAGCTGTCCCTCAGGCTGGGTTGTCATGCGACTGCCTGTCTGTGCCTGCTGTACAGGTGAGAGGATGTTCTGCACAGCAAGTGTAGACAGGCAGACACATGACAACTCCGTCCAGCCAGTCCCTTGGAGCCATCGCCGCTGGTGTGCAACACTTTGTGCCAGTCCGCTTTGGGGGGCATTTGGTGGGGGGAACACACATAACACAATTAAACTTTAAAACATTGGCAGCTGCAGAACAAGAACAGAACTTGATTTTATTCAGAAAAGAAGCTTGTGGGTACATGAGTTATCATTGTGCTGACGTATCAGGGATGCGATTTCAACAGACTGGTCACACTGAACATTTGGAGAAGCAAAAAGTACTGAAGCCATGGTTTATTTTATATGCAATTCATACAGGGTTTTGCCTGCATATTATACTCACACATTGTAATTTAACCAGATGTTTTTACTCCTCATGGAAGCACAGAAATACTGAAGTTCAAGATAAAGGATATGTTTATACAGTGCATATTTTCTAGGAGCAGATAAGTACAATAATCTGCAATGTTAAAAATAAAAATCTTTCTGTATAAATGGAGGCAGCCACTTGCACATTAACCCCATTATAGGGWACGTGCTGGAAAGAAAATGGGTTGCATTTTGCAGCAGTTTTGCTAATATGTAATATATTTCTTTTAGTATTTTTCATGTTATTTCAAATTAACTTTCTCTCAAAATCTGCACTATCTARCAAAATAAATTAACCTGGTAAAACTTCAGTAAGTTTTTTTCAGTTAACTATAGGCTATACTGTATATCAAAAGCATGCAAATAGTATCATTTCACATCACAAAATGTGCTACTTTGCTGAATTTTCTCTATATAGAATACACACAATGACTGTAACCCAATTTGCAGTGATATCTGCAACATCATTGGGGTATTGTTTCAAAAGGCCTAAAACACACTGGAACCTTAAAGGGTGAAAAGAATAATTGTATTAATTTTCTCTCCAGATTAGATGTTTCTGGTTTATAATGGTGTTCTTGAGTCTCTCTTGCTCACTAGTGCCACCATAGGTAAGCAACAAACTTGTGCTTTCAAACCCTTTTCAAACATATCCCATACRAAATAGCAGCCAAACAATTTTAAGTCCAGCCTAAAAACTGATTATAAAAGGGATGAATTTACCRAGAGACTAAAGATGGGGATAGTGCTGAGGTTTTAAATTAGGCTAATAATAAATTAATATATAATTA